TACTCATTTTGCCACCACTATTGTAAGTAGTGGCTTAAAAAGGCGGTGCAAGTCCTAGGTAAAGGAAAACTTTAGTATCGTGGTGCATAGTTTGTCGCCACTACGCATGTTATAAGATTGTTTGCAAGTGTGGTTATCATTTCTTTTCGTTGGTTTCTTAGTTTCTTCCTTCACATGGCTTTCTACAAAGGACATGTCTCTAGGTGCGTCATAGCACGTTGGTTTCTTAGTTTCTTCCTTCACATGGCTTTCTACAAAGGACATGTCTCTAGGTGCGTCATAGCACTTTGCTGGTAACTGGGTGCGCATTTTTAGCGGGTAGATATTATAATTTTGCTGGTTTGCAATTGAAATATGGCAAGATGTAGCTAATAGTTAGTAATTAGTATATGATTCTTTTGTTTTGACAACCGTGAGGGTCAACTTGCACGCACCTCAACTAATCCACGGGGTACCTGCTACCTCCCACCACCAGTATATATTTCTTTTATCATTAAGGTATTATGTTCCTTTCTTATTCCCTCCACATTGGTCTGTTTTATTTTACACTTTTATGAGGGGAAGAGTTGACAATGTTACTGTTTATTTGTTATGCGATTACATGGGGCTCATACGTTATTTTGGTGTTTAAGGATCAGAATAAGAAAAAGGGCCTTTTCTTTTTATAAGTAGAAAAAAAGGACCTTATTGAGAAGAGTAAAATAGGCCGCATACGACCTTAGGTGCAAAACAATTAGTGAGCCCAAAGTCTTTTTCTTATTATAGATGTTCATCAATTGCATGAATTGGATGAATGCTAGTGCTGTTTGACAGTCTGAAGTTCATAGCTAGCCTTCCATCACTTTGTGCCGAAATTTATGTTTGAGTTGACTGTCGTTGATGAGCTTTTCTTGAAGTGCTATAGCCTTTGTTTTTAATTAAAAAGCAAGTTTCTTAAAGTGCTATAGACTTGTGTGGACATTTTGAACAGGTGAATCTTAAATTAGTGATATGAGCAAATATTTAGATTTATAGATTAACCATAGGAGCTACCCTGCAAAACAGCGAAGACACTAGTCATGTCTCTATTCTCAAAGTAGTGGCCATCAGCTTGAGCTGCACTGTGATCGTGAAGATGTAGTAGGCTAGATTTTTGTTAAGTAACTCATTAATGGAAGTTCTTTTTTTTAAACCCCTCAACATTATTCCGTTTGGTCATCAGCATGCATATCTTTTCAGTGTCCAATTCTGCTTTCACGTTTCTCACCCCTCCTTTAGGAATTGGGTGTACTTTTACTATTTCTCTTATTATTTGAACCAGAGTTTGTCAAGGTTTTTATGGATTTCGATTATTTTGGATAACTATTGGCCAGATTTTGAAATATATTCTGGTATATGTTTCGTTGAAGGGGCTACTCAGAAAAGGCCACTATTTTTCTCCCCACTAATAGATGGAAAATGATTTTTGTGCCACCCCTTGTCACGCTGTTGCTGCATGATAGAGCAATCTCCTTAGAGAAATTCGCAGTTGTGGATTTAGCTCCTTGAATACCGGGGTCATATTCCTCTAATTTGTTGCCTACCTCTCAAATTTTTTTTTTTGCAGGATGACTTGTCAGCTACGCTAGTACAACAGTGTCGCCAGTCCCTCAATACTGTTCAGAGAATCATCGAGACTGCTGGAGATAATGAGGCCCTCCTTTTTGAAGCCCTGAATATAAATGATGAAGTTCAAAAGGCCCTTTCGAAGTATGACGAATTGAAGAAACCTATGGTTGTTTCATCAGAGCCAGAACCTGCCATGATTCCAGTTGCTGTGGAGCCCGATGAGTCCCCCCGTGCTGGAAAAGAAGATGCTCTGATCAGAAAACCATCAGGCTCCCGGTCTGCAGTCCACGGAGGAAATGATGATATGATGGATGATCTTGATGAGATGATTTTTGGTAAAAAAGTGGATGGCACATCTGAATCAAGACATGACACAAAGAAGCAGCAATCGCCAAAAGATGATCTCATCTCATTTTGAATTCCTTCCCGTGCACTTGACTTAATACTGGAATCCACAGGCTTTGGTGATGTTAATATCAGGCTTGTTCAATTTCTACCAACTCTTGTGCTTATGATTGAACCTTCATAAATGGATGTAGAACTTTGTTGATTTGGTCTCCACATATACCTGAATTACTTATAGTTTTAATGTCTGAACTTTGGGATTTAACTGCTTGAAAAAGATATACCCTGCTTGTTTTTCATGGATATTGGATGATATTTGTTCTTGATCTCGTGTCAGTGCTTTGAGACATGTCAGTAGTGACTCCATTTCAGTTGTTCTAGAACTTCCCTTTGAGAATTAAGATATATATTGGAGAATGTGGAAAATGTCCAAATATATCCTTGTACTATGAGAAAATGTTTAAATATATCTTTGCCATAAGACTTCAAATATAGGGACACTCTTCCGTGATTTGGGGCAACATATTAGATAGTATCAACACCTATTAAGGACATAGAATTAACATAAACATATCCTTAGTAATGTTCAATTAATCAATCGATGTCAATCCCTAGTTGGTCCAATACAAATTTGCTAAGTAGTGTTAGATTCAATATCTCAAGTCACTCAGGTTTGTACAACATGCGGTTAAATAGTCTTTTCACACAATTCAATCTTCATATGACGATCCGTTATCCTGTCCCACCATCCGTTTTTTTTTTTTTTTTTTTTTTTTT